AAATTTTTACCACTTATTCTAGTCAGAATATTTAGGTTGTTTCTGGTTTTCTGGTTACCCACAATGCTGCAGCTATAATACAGAACTTTTAGATTTCCAGGAAAGGGGAGTCTAATCTTCTGGTATTTCTGTTCCCCCACCTCTGCCCTCTAGGAAATGTCTTAAAGCGTTGAAAAAGGAAAAAATAAAATGCCCAACAAATGTAAACATTTGGCGTCCAACTATTTGTGTGTGGGAAGTTATTTAATACCTGCGGGTGGCGGGGATGCAGTTTCCAAGTGGCTCCGGGGAGCCAGCGAGGGAGAGCAGCTTGGCCACGCTCCCGTCCCAGGAGGCCCTTCAGCGGCTCTGCGCAATGGTCAGAGGTGACGGACCGGCTTTGCGTTCCTGGACGTAAGCCTCACTGCTGCTGCTACTACCCATTAGGTGAACCACGGGGGAATTATGTGAGCTAATTATGGGAATTCAGACACAGGCAGTCTCTCTAAATCATAATTTGCCCATCCGTCACAGAGGTTTAATCACAGAGCTGACGGGATTGCTAGAAGCAACAAATGGGGTAACACATCTGAAGTGTTCGGCATGTTGTAAATATAATTGTGATAAACCAACCTTCAGCGAGGTATGTTATCATATACTTAGCCAGCCCAGAAAAAGACTATCCGAAGGCAATATAAATGCGTGGTCTTGAGAATACAGCCTTTTTGTTTGTTCTGGGAAACTCAAAGATTATATAAACTTTGTTTTTTCTTGCGCTCACCTATTTTATGTGACACAAGTAGAACAGTTTTGAGAAAAGCTTCATAAAAGCAGAGGATGAAATACATAAGCACTGTTGGTGAGACAGTTGGATTCCAGCAGGAAAACGGGGATGGCATTGTCTGTCTTTGAGGGGGCGTGCTGTGCCACGCGGGGAGCTCACTGTATGTCCCCTTGCTGCTCAGAAAGATGTGTGCTAACGTTTGGTCAAGGGTACGACCAAGGCATGTCATATTCTTTAGCGTCCTGCGTAATGTAAACAGCATGCTAACATCACTCACCTTTGACCTTTGCTACAGCCTTTTTTGGGGGGTGGGGGGAGCAGGCCAGAGTACGGAAGTGCCCTCCGTGCTCACTAACCAAGGTGCCCCAAACTGGGGTCCCACACAAGCTGACAAAGGTGGACCACGGGGCAAGAACCGGAGCTTCGGCTTTGCCTGTCCCACATGCTCGCGAGGCCCTGCATGTTTTCACTTACTCAAGGAGCTGAACCCCAAGACGCCACCAGGGTGGTCCCATTCGGCTCGCCCCAATCCCTTGCCACCCCGGTATACGCTGACTGGGTGGCCGGGGCTGGGGGGATTGGAGTGGGTGGGGGGAGAGGAAGCCCATGCGAACCCTTTTCTGAAGAAGGCGCCAGAATGCTCCTCTGCACGCGCAGTACAATAGCATGACAAAAGGTCAGCGTGCCGGAGTTAGTGTGTCCATCCCAAGAGACAGCGCGGGCCGGGGTGTCCCGGAGGAGGCCGGCGGCCGGTGGTCCTCGGCCGCGGCCTGAGGTGAGCGGCGCGCCGGGGGCCGCGCGGGAGCGCACGGCCCTGGGCGCGGCGACGCCGCCCGCGCCTCCTTAACCCGCGCCGGGAGGCGGCGGCGGCGGCGGCCCGGCGGGCGGGGGCGGGGGAGGGGCGCCGAGTGCGGCGCCGAGGCCGGGGAGGAGCCGGGGCCTGCAGCGGAGCCGAGCCGCGAGCCCGACACCGGCCGTCCGCCGCCCTCTGGCTCTCCGGGAGCCCCCGGGCCGGCCTGAGCGCGAGAGCTGGCAGCGCCGGGGAGCTCCCCCGGCACGCGCCCGAAGCGAGGGGAGCGAGCGGACGGGACGGGACGGGACTGGAAGGAGGCGCGGCCGCCGCCGCCGGAGCCGGGGACGCCGAGTCCCGGAGCCGCGGCCTCCCCGGAACCCTTGCAGCCCAGGCCAGCTCCCGGAGAACCGGGGAGCGCGAAAACCCCACCCTGTGCGGGGCAGCCTGGGAGTGCGGGCGACCGGAGCTGCCTGTCCCCGCCCCACCCCACCCCCCACCCCCGCGTGGGAGAGGAGACCCCCGCGACCACGAGGGTGAAGGCAAGAGGACACCCCTGCTGGGGACCCGTCTGTGCTTCGTAGGGGCGAGGACGCCGCCCCCGCCCCGCCCGCGCGCCCACGCCGGCCCGGGAGGAGACCCCCAGAAGTAGAAGAGGGGGGGACCTTGCCGGACGGAGCCCGCCCCAGTGTCGCCGCCGCCCTCCGAAGAGAAAGGGGGCTGTGTGCACCCGAGCCGTCCAGTCCTCGCCTCGGAAGCCAAGGCCACCCCCGGGAGCGCCCCAGAGGAGTCGGCTGTCAGCCTTCCTGGAGTGGGGACGTCCTGCTTGCTGCACTCCCGTCACTGCCACCCTCAACTTCTTCCGAGCCAGACGTGGGCTTGGGGGGAACCTGGGCACTGCCCCCGCAGACGCGGGGCTCCCACAGGCGGAAGGAGCCCTCCAGCCACGAAAAAGGTCCACTTGTTGGGGAAGACACAGCTCCTGGCCGGGAGAGGCCGCCTCCCCAGAGCCAGAGAGAGGCTGCGGGGGGTGTGCCACCTTGCCCAGCCGGGTCCTCCCCATCCACGGGTGACCCTGCGCACCCTCTGGCTCAGGAGGCCCAGCCAGGTAGCCGGGAAGAGCTGCTGAGGATGACACCCGTCGGCTGTGTCTAAAGAGGGGGAGCCCTCCAGCCCCCAGCTCCAGGACCCGGTGGTCCCCTGCCTCCAGGTGGGAACCTAAAAGAGGTCAGTATCTTCTTGCGCCTTCCACCCGTGGGTGGTCATCGTTGTGGGCACCAGCTGGGAGTGCTGTGGTGGGGCTTGGCTGTCCCTCTGCTGGGGAAGGGCTCTCAGAGGGGCCTGTGGGTTTGAATGTGTGTCCCAGACACTCTGGGACTCGAACCCAGCACTTGGCTCCAGGGAGGGGGAGGGGCTTGGGGATTGATGGGGTGGCAATGTGGACGTTTCCATGCAGAGAACATAGGACATCGGACCCCCTGCCTTACCTCCCCATCACTGGGGGCCGTGTAGTAGCACGGTTCCTCCCAGCCAGGTGCCCAGGAGTGTGGTCCATGGGCCATTCCACCTACAGTTGGCCTTCCCAAAGGCAGGGTGGTGGCTGTGTGCCTGCCTTGTCTGAGGGGCGAGGCCTGGGTCATCCAGAGGCATCCGCTGTAATGACCGTCCCCTCTGGCAAGTTGGAAAGCTGTGTGTGCTCACTCGGCCGGTCTCAGACACCAGAGGCCTCCTTCAGCCAGTAGCCCCAGTCCTGAGCATACGAGCCCTCTACCCTTACATCTCAATGGAAATGGAAATCTCTTGTGGTGAGAAGGAGGTGTGTGCGGTGACCCTGGGTGCCTGGGCTCACATTCCCCCGACCCCAGGATGCCTGCCCTTGGCCGAGGACTCCTGAGGACGAGTTGGAGCGTGGAGAGGAAGACAGGAGGCCTGCCTTCTAGCTGCCTCCCAGCTGCTCACTCAGGCTGCACCACCGGAGAGGTTGTTCTTAGGAGGGCAGTAGAATTTCCTTCCAGGAAAGCACCTGCTGCGTCCAGTCTTCTCCTTTGCTGCTTCCTCTGTAGTACTGGAGTCCCTGTAACTTGCGTTGTAAGACAGAGAATTGTGAGGTTTTATAGTCTCCAGGAAAAGCAGAAGGGACTGGGAGACCTTGACAGCTCAGGCCAGTCCCGAGCTTGCTAGCTGGGTTCTCACCTGGCCATAAGAGGCGACATTACATGAGGCATGTAATGTATGCATGCCAAGATGCATACAGGCAGACCAAGGCGCGGAGGAGGCGACATCTGATGGGGCTTTCATGCTGGCCTCTCCAAGCCCTGGCCTGGTAGCGCAAGCCCTCGGGTGCCTCCACTTTGTCCTGTTAGTAGGGTATATGTGCCGTGGCCGTCACTCACAGGTTTGTACGGCCGTGCTCTAGGGTGAGTGTGTCTGTACCTCTGGGTTCTGAGTGGGTGTGTAAGTGAAGGCCAGCACGTGTGTGTGCTTCAGACCACACTCTGATCATGTAGAAATGTGTGTGTAGGCTTCTAGAAGCAGAACCTGGAGAAGGTGGTGGTAGGGATGCCTGGCCTGCGCCTGGCAGTTGGGAGTGAGAAGAGCTTCATTTCTGCAGAATCCAAGCGCTCCTCCTCTGCCTGTTCCTGACAAAGTGCTGTGCGGCAGGGTAGGGTCCAACTCTAATGTGTCTGGAAGGGGCAGGGACGGGCCTCTGAGCTGGGGTGCTCCTCAGCACCCAGCAGCTGGGGTTGGACCAAGCCTGCATTTAATCCTAACAACACCCCCAGAGATGGTGGCTCCCCAGGCGCCTCCCATGGCGCACACTGGCAGGAAGCTGGAGTCCAGAGCTGAGCCAGGGTGGCTGTGAAATGTGTGAGTTGGAAGTGGCATCTCTGCGGCTGAGCCACATGCTTGTCTGGCAGAGTACAGCTTCAGTGGCTCAGTGTGGGCTCTGCCGGCGCCTACAGGGCCGCTGCCGTCCCATTTCACTGGCCCTGTGTGCACCACATTTTCCCGGCTTTCCATGACTGTGTTGGGTCAGTCAGCAGCAGGTGCAGGTTGGTTTAACTGATTTGCAGGATGTTGTCTTCCAGCCGTGTGCCATGGCTCTGCCCGGTTCCCTCTGAACGGCAGGAGTTGTTATTCTCCAATCCTCGTTCCTGGACCTTTGCTAGCATTCATTAGTGCTGTGGTGGTGCTCACTGCAAAGGGCAGGTCTGAGACTCTGACAGCCTGGGAAGCGGTTTGCACACGCAGGGCGGGTTTTGTAACAAATCATTTCATGCTTGCCGCTCCTAGGCTTGTCTCTGCGGCCTGTTGGCCTGTTGATTTTCTTTCTTTAAAAGTTTATTTATTTGAAAAGTAGAGCATCAGAGAGAGAGAGAGAGAGAGAGATTTTTCATCTCCTGGTTCATTCCACACATGCCCAGTACAGCCAGGGCTAGGCCAGGCTGAAGCTAGCAGCAAGGAAATCTGTCTGAGTCTCCCACACGGGGACAAGGACCCAAGCGCCTGAGCATCACCTGCAGCAGGTACCTGCAGCAGGTACGCAGCAGCAGCTGCCCTGGGAGCAGAGGCAGGATTTTGATAGAGGCTGCCAGCATCCCCGACAACCTCCCGTGCCTCAAGGACAGCCCTGCCTGCCACTTTTCTACTTTTGAATTTCTAACAACAACAACAATAGTTTTCCCCTTCGAAAATGATCAGAGCTGCACTTCTCTAGCACTTACTGAGTCACTGAAAAATAGTAAGACGAATCTTCACCACAAGCCGTCTGAAGGTGCAGTTACACACGTGTCGGAGAGGACGAAACCAAGAGTCAGGGGTCAGTAACTTGCCGGACGGTGCAGAGACAGTAAGAGCTGGGGAGCAGGCTTGAAAGCTGCACCGGATTGGATCCCGGGAGCCTGCTTGGCCTGGAGGTGACCACTCCATGGCAGCTGGCTGGCCCCGTTCTGGGCCGTGGGGAGTAAATGGGAAGCAAACTGCTCACTTTCTTGGGAATCATGTGCCTCTCGCCCAGGATCACTGTTTCACACCCACGGAGGGTCTGGCCATCTGTTTTCTCTGCCATCCCCCACCCTCCCAGCTCCCCCCGTCCTGTGGTCGGCTGTCCTAAGGATGTGACAGGGCCTGTCCTTCGGCTGCCTTTCCCAGGTTCTCTGGGTATTTCCTTTCAGTCTTCCAGCACATGAGGAAGAATGCAGCCTGACTCAGGTTCTGCCCAAACCCCGTGGCCCAGGGCCCACCTGGAGAGGGAGAGAGGGTTGCACTGAGAAATGGAAGTGGCTCTTGTTTGCCTTTCTAATAATAACCCTGAACATTTGCCTCGTGCCATTATTTTGGGGAGCGTGGAATGTGTGGCAGCCACGAGCTCATTAAGCTTCATTCACTTCCCTCCAGGGAGGAAGCTGTAGCAGGGTTTCTGCCTCCATCCCTTTTCTTGAAGAGGGAAATCGAGGCACCAGGACTTCCCTCAGAGAGCCAGAGATGGCTAGGGACACTCCGTGAGTCAGTGTCAGGGCCTGGAATGGAACCCAGGACTCTCCAATGCCAAGGTCCCACGATGCGTTGGGCCACCCTACAAGAATGGGGAAGTGAGGAGGGTGAGGAAGTGGGATGGGTTAAAGGAGAGTGGTGCTGAGAGAGCAGAGGGATCAGAGCGTGCAAGCTTCTTGCAGCTGGTAAGACTGGAATTGGACTATGTGAGTGCTGGGACTGTATGTAGGGCTGGCTGGGAGAGCGCTGGAGGAAGGTTAAATTTAACCTCGGTGTCCTAACCTAGTGCTGGGCAAAGGGTAGGCAAGGGCGTGAAACAACCCGCAGAAGGCTGAGGGGATACATGGGATTGGTCTGTGCCCCTGGGTTCTAGAAGGCCCCTCATCCTGGGGACCCTCCCCCCCAGGCACTTGCCCACTGTTGGGAATGGAATGTCAGTCAGATGAGGCACTCCTGTGGTGAGATCTCCTGGGATGTTGTTTTCCCAGGAGGGAGTAGAGAACGGGAGGCCCTTTGGAGGAGGACCCAGGAGAGCCAGGTCATGGAGGACTGGTTTCTGTTCGGCTGGGATGACTCAGCTCCAAGCTGGCTGTGATTCTGCCGCAAGCCCCGTTGCTGTGACCCGGGAGGCTGGGGTGTCCTGACTTGGTAAAGTGCAGCAAGCCGGGAGCCTTCTTGGAGTGATGAAGTATCCTTAACAAGCTTCCAAGTTTCCAGGTGGTTTAGGGGACCTGGTTGTGGTGGGATGAGAGGAGGATGGCCCGCAGGGGTGGGGCGAGGCAGAGCTCAGAAGGGAGAGGGTTCCCCTGCCTTATTTCTTTCTATCAGGCATTTGTTGGGTTGCGATTGGGGCTCTTGCCCCACAGGCCCTAGAGCACCCCTCTCCCTGACTCCGACCCTGGGGTGCTCCCTTCAGCCTAGGGAACTGGGTGCCTTGGAGGTTAGGAGCACAGGCTGGGGTTGGCCGGAGAAGGACCAGGGAAGCGAGTGCGAGTCCTGACCTTCAGGAGCCAAGATGCACTGCCTGGGACTGAAGATGGAGTCCAGGAGAGCAGGCACAGTCACCACGTCTCTGGTGCAGCTGGAAACTCCCCAGCGCGTGGGTCTGTGCCGGGTGCTGGGTGCTGAGGCTGTGTCCTGCGCACCTGGAGCTCCCCAAGTGCTGCTTGGGGCCGGGTGTTCCTGCCCTGGCTGCTCGGGAAGAATGTCCTGGTAGGACTGAGGGAGAAATGCTGGCTGGAATCTGGAGGCTGTGCAGGCACAAACCTGTTAGGCAGCAAGTGCTGAAGGCTTGCTGGCATCAGCTCCGAGGGAGTGCCAAATGGCTACCGAGTGGTGCGTGCCAGCCTTTCCAGACCCCGCAGGACAGGCAGCACCCCGCCTTCCCCCACGGGGACGTCCCTCCAGCTCTGCCTCTCTGCCAAGCAGGAGCACCCAGGCGGTGTGGGTGGCAGCAGGGCATGCAAACAGCAGACGTGGGCGGCCTGGCAGCTCCAGGAGTGTGCACGGAGGTACGGCGAATGAGCCTGCGTGCCTTGCCGTGCCCAGCAGTGCCGGGCTGTTCTGGGCCTGGCCGGGAAGGAAGACGGGAGGAGGGCGGAGAAGGAGAGCCCGCTCTTGGCCCCAGAGTGGCTATTTTTAGCCAGGCTATCTGATTGTTACCGGTGCGCACAGTTGGGTGTCTCCCTGGCTGGGTGAAGGCCGGCGGGCAGGCAGAGGTGGGAGGTTCTTGGTGCTTCTTCCTGGTGGTGGTGTGTGTGGGCGGGAGCGTGCAGGGGATGGCCGTGAGGGCAGCCGCCAATTCAGGATTTGTTTCCTGTGTGTGTGACTCGGTGCTCTGCCGGTAACGCATGCTGTGTGTCTGATGGCCATCCTTGTGTGTGTGCACCGTTGTGTGTGTCTGCCTTGTACCCTCTGTTCTTAGCTGGTTGTCGCAGGTGACCCGTGCCTCACATGGCTGTGTGGGTGACGTGGGAAGGGCGAGTGCTCCTCAGCTTTCCGAGGTGGGACTTCGTTAGAAGTGCTGGTGTGTGATTTGTGAGGGTTTATTTAGACTTTTCCTTGACATTTATATTGGTGGAGGTTGTAAGAAAAAGTAGCAAGGATCCCATTGTTAGAAAACAAATAGCAGATAATTTTATAGGCTGAGTGTTTTTGTTTTTTAAAACTTTTCTATATACTTTTTATTATTTATTTTTATTTATTTTATTCAAAAAGCAGAGTTACAGAGAGAAGGAAATACACACACACACACAGAAGGGGGGGAGAGAGATAGAGAGTAAGAATCTCTTCTCCTGCTGGATTATTCTCTAAATGGCTGCTGTAGCCAGAGCTGAGCTAATTGAAAATCAGAGCCAGGAGCTTCTTCTGGGTCTCCCATGGCGGTGCAGGGGCCCAAACACTTGAGCCATCCTCTGCTGCTTTCCCAGGCTGTAAACAGGGAGTTGAATTGGAAGTGGAACAGCCGGGACACGAACTAGTGCCCATATGGAATGCTGGTGCTATAGATGAAGGCTTAGCCCACTATGCCATGACGTTAGCCCCAAACTATAGTTTTCCTTTATAGTTTTATTTTTAAGATTTTTTTTTAATTGGAAAGGCAGATTTACAGAGAGAAGGAGATACAGAGAGAAAGATCTTCCATCTGCTGATTTACTTCTTAAGTGGCTATGATGGCTGGAGCTGAGCTGATCTGAAGCCAGGAGCCAAGAGATTCTTCTAGGTCTCCTCCCCACGAGTGTAGGGGCCCAAGGATTTGGGCCATTTTCTACTGCTTTTCCAGGCCACAAGCAGAGAGCTGGGTGGAAAATGGAGCACCCAGGAAATGAAACGGTGCCCATATGGGATCTCGGCACATGCAAGGCGAGGATTTTAGCCACTGAGCCATCACACTGGGCCCTCCTCTATAGTTTTAAAGTATGTTGTCGGGGTGTAAGAAAGGAGCCTCAGGGTACGGGGGTTGATCTCTCCTTGGACCCTCCAGCTGGGCCCGGCCCACTGTAGGAAGGAAGGTGTGACAGGCTCGGAGTGGCTAAGACGCCAGTTGAGGTGCCTGTGGCCATCATCAAAGGGCCCACGTTTGGTACCCGATTCAGGCCCCGCCTCCAGCCTCCTGCTGACTCAGGGCTTGGGGGTCAGCAGTGAGGGCTTCCCCTCCTCCTGCCACGTGGGACACCTGGAATGGGTTCCCAGCTCCGGGTTCCAGCCCAGCTTGTCTCGGCCTCGCCCACTGTGGGCCTGTGGGGAATGAACCAGCAGCTGGGAGCTCCGTTTCCGTTAGTCTTTCTCCAAAAGCAGGAGAATAGCAATCTTATCAGCTGGTGGAAGGTTAGTGATGTGCATGTGTGCATGTGTATTTTAGGGTCCTGGGACCTTTGATTTGAGGGCCAGCCATGAGGCAAGTCTCCTAGGGGAACTCTAGAGGGAAGAATTCCACTTGCCGTAAATAGGATTTGATTATTGCGTGCCCGTGGGAATCACGTTCCTCTACCCTCTGTCCTCTTCGCTGCAGAACCCAGAGGTGCCATGGCGTCTGACCTGGAGAGCAGCCTCACCTCCATAGACTGGCTGCCCCAGCTGACCCTCCGAGCCACCATCGAGAAGCTTGGCTCTGCTTCCCAGGCTGGGCCACCAGGGGGCAGCCGCAAGTGTGCCCCAGGGTCCCCCACGGACCCCAACGCCACCCTGAGCAAAGATGACGCGGCAGTCCACCAGGACGGTAAACCACGGTACAGTTACGCCACCCTCATCACCTACGCCATCAACTCGTCCCCGGCCAAGAAGATGACCCTGAGTGAGATCTACCGCTGGATCTGTGACAACTTCCCCTATTACAAGAACGCTGGCATTGGCTGGAAGGTGCGACTCCTTGACTGCCTCCATCATCTCCTGTGCTAATTTTGTTTTATAACCTCCTGCCATCTTTTCCCCTGCTTTTCTTTCTTTCTGTACTCAGGTCCAGTTCACTCTACCTCAACTCAGAGATGTATAAACTTGAAATCCCCTATCTTCTACTGTCTCCTTTGTTCCAGAGGAACAGTGCTTGCAGTGTGTTAGGAAGACTCCACGATCCTGAGCCATCCATGTAGTTATGGGAATCTCAGAATGCTGCTTGTCATGACGTAGCGTTAGCCTCTGCCCTCCTTCAGCCCACAGGTGGTCATTGCTGTCCTCCTGTGTCCTTCCCACCTGGAAGGTGTGGTGGACAATCCCAGCAGGCTTTCTTAGTCCCTTCATCTTTGGCAAAATTAGAGACTAAGAGGATCAAACATAAGTAGGTCCTTTCTCAGGGAAGAATGGATAGCTGGTCCACCAAGCAAGGAACGCGAGGCTGCGTTGTTCTGCTGGAGCTGGGGACGAGGCTGTGCCTCCCAGGCCGTGAAGCAGCTGAGGCTCTTGGCTGGAGCCGTTCACCAGCTAGCAGTGGAGCAGGCGTGGGGAGTTCATGTTTGCAGTAAATGACCCATTGTCGTACAAGCCATAGGATGAGCTGGAGACCGGCGGATGCGTTGTGGTCCCTTTGCGGAAGGGGGGGTCTTCCAAACGCTCCTGAAAAATGGGATTACGAGCCACATTTCTTATTGTGCAGGAAAATGTACACACCCTCACGTATTAGGTGACTCGAGACGGTTCGTGGAGAGGTCCTGACGGTGAAAAATCTAAGTGTGTGCGTTTCAGAATTTTTTTTTCTTGTGCGCTATGATAAATTTACTTCTCAACTCCATTTCCATGACCTTTTCCAAATGCTCTGTCAGGTCCCTGCCAGCTGGCACAGCCTCTAACCACACCTGCCACGGCCGTACAACACCTTTGTCCTCTGCATGTGGCCGTGCAACCATTGAGAAAACAAAGCCTTTGTTCCACTCCTACTTTATGTCTCGTGGGAATTGATTGAAATAGCTGGTTTGCTGTTGGTAGAGTTGTGGGAGTTTTGAAGCATTTCTGTCCCTGTTGTCCTTTGGGTGGGAAGGTTGAAAGACTAGGAATCCACTTTTCAGAGACACCTGGTAATCACATTCAGATCCATTACCTCGAGTCAGTTTAATGTCTGCGTTTTTCTTGTGTCATCATCTCTCTTGTGTCTGACAGAAATAATTCCCTCCGTCAGTGTCGTTAAAAGGTGCTGAAGTTACACAGCTGTTTGGACTTTGTACTGTCATATCATGTCTTCTTGGAGTCCCTGTGATCCTAGGGAGACTTGTCTGCCTTGTGCAGTGTTCAGATCTGACCTGCATCTCTGCTTCCACAGAACTCAATTCGGCACAACCTCTCCCTCAACAAGTGTTTCCGGAAGGTGCCCAGACCTCGGGATGACCCTGGGAAGGTGAGCCGCTGCCGTTGGAATGGATGGGACGGGCAGCCGGGAGAGTGGAGTGTTGGGCAGGCTGGACCTGGCTCTTGTTATAAACTGAGCTTGTCAGAGAAGATCCTGAGGTTTCCTCCGAGGGAGAGCTTGTTGGAATGGCTGACTGAGAAAGGTTGTGCAATCTTTTTTTTTTTTTCCAACCTTTACATAAAACTGTACAGTAAAGTAGACTCCAATGTCCCCATTCTTTTATCTGGTACTTTTATGTAGATGTGGAAAGTGAACTTCCAGTTTAGAGTCCTTTCCACATACACAGCCCTGGTTTTCACCTTCCTAAGGGAGAAGACCCGGGTCCTTCTCTCTACCTGCCAGATGTCGAAGCTCAAGTCTGGGGGATTTGCTTAAATCACGAGGGAAGGGCTGGGTGATCCTGGGACATTTGCAGCCCTGGTCCGTTCTTCCCTGTAGTCCTGCACCAGGGACTGTGTGCAGTCCCCAGGGGCTGTGTGTGGTCCTCAGGGGCTGTGTGCGGTCCCCAGGGGCTGTGTGCGGTCCCCAGGGGCTGTGTGTGGTGCCCAGGGGCTGTGTGCGGTCCCCAGGGGCTGTGTGTGGTGCCCAGGGACTGTGTGCTGTCCCCAGGGGCTGTGTGTGGTGCCCAGGGGCTGTGTGCGGTCCCCAGGGGCCATGTGTGGTGCCCAGGGGCCGTGTGCGGTCCCCAGGGGCCATGTGTGGTCCCCAGGGGCCATGTGTGGTGCCCAGGGGCCGTGTGTGGTGCTCAGGGGCCATGTGTGGTGCCCAGGGGCTGTGTGTGGTGCTCAGGGGCCATGTGTGGTGCCCAGGGGCCGTGTGCGGTCCCCAGGGGCTGTGTGTGGTGCCCAGGGGCTGTGTGTGGTGCCCAGGGGCTGTGTGTGGTCCCCAGGGGCCATGTGTGGTGCCCAGGGGCCATGTATGGTACCCAGGGGGCTGTGTGCCGTCCCCAGGGGCTGTGTGTGGTCCCCAGGCAGGCTGGACTGGAAATGATGTCCACAGTGGAACCCAGTATGCTCAGGGTGCTGTGTGAATGTATAGCCCTGTTCTTTGCATGACTGACACACGCGTGTGCCAATCCTGCCACCCATCTTCGTTCCCAAACGGGGTAGCTTCTGTATGCAACCGTTTTGTCCTCTGCAGTGTCAGGTTCTCTTTCCAGGGCTCCTACTGGACCATCGACACCTGCCCTGACATTTCCCGCAAGAGAAGGCACCCTCCAGATGATGATGTAAGTCCCTCCTCCCCAGGAGATGCGTCCCAGCCCAGTCCCCTCCTGTACGTGCAGTGTTTCCCCAGGCTAGCGTGGGTTCCAGTGGAGGTGCACCCAGGGCTCTTGGGAGTGTGCTCAGCCTCCACTTGTGACCCTCAGCTGTCCCAAGACTCACCGGAGCAGGAAGCAAGCAAGAGCCCACGGGGAGGCATTCCAGGGACCGGGGAAGCCTCACTGCCTCCTGAGGGGAACCCTCAGATGTCACTGCAGAGCCCCACCTCCATCGCCAGCTATAGCCAGGTAGGATGCTCAGGAGGCCAGAGGCATGGGGCAGGCTGGTTGGATGGGCTGATTGAGCAGGTTCAGGGGTGTGTGTGTGTGTGTGTGTGTGTGTGTGTACAGGTACCTGTGATGCCTCCTGCAGAGAAGGTCGGGCTGGAGGGAACGGCAGGGGAGGAGAGATTGAGAGAGTCAAAGACAGCTGTGGGGTAAGAACTCAGAGAAGACCTGGAGGGAGCATAGAAAGAAATGAAGGGGAGCCGAAGCCACTGGGAGAGGGCAAGAGGGGTTGCATGGGACCTAGGAAAAGGACAGTTAGAGACCAGAGGGAGAGCCATGAGAAAAAGAGAGAGAGAAAGAGAGAGAGAAGAGAGAGAGAGAGAGACTGGGTCCAGGATGATAAAGTGCTGCCGGGCCATGCAGCAGTTAGAAGCTGAAGAGGACAGCAGGAGGGCCTGGTGTCCCCGGGAGGGTTGTGTTGTGCCCTCAGCCTGGGGCACGGGTCAGGACTCCACCTGCTGGTTTTCAGGGCACAGGAGCCGTGGATGGCGGAGCAGTGGCTTCGGGGGCTCCGGGCCGAGAAGGTGCTGAGGGCGCCCCTCCCCTCTATAACACCAACCACGACTTCAAATTCTCCTACTCAGAGATCAACTTTCAGGATTTAAGTTGGTCCTTCCGCAACCTCTACAAATCCATGCTGGAAAGGTCCTCTTCGTCACAGCATGGTGAGTCTGGGCTGGGCTGACGAATGGAATCCCGAGGTTACTTAACCAATCATGACGTGCTCTCCATGCCCTTATTTCTTGTTTTGTTTTCGTTTTTTTTAAAAAAATTTATGTATTAAGATTTTTAGTTTTTATTTTCATTTTGTTTGAAAGGCAGAGAGAGAAAAAGAAACAGACCGGTCAAGCTTGCATGTGCTGGTTCGCTCCCGGTGCCCAGAACAGTCAGGGCTAAGCTTGGCTGGGCTGAAGCCAGGAGCCTGGAGCTCAGTGGGTGCTGGGGTGGTACATGTGGCCTCCTAGGATGCTCATTAGCAGGAAGATGGAACAGGAAGTGGAGCCAGGACCTGAACTTGAGCACCCAAATATGGGCTACACATATCCCAAGCCATCTTAACCCTGGTGCCAAATGACCACCCTGTTTCTTATTTTTAACACAGCAGGAGGTTGATCGCTGGTTAGAGGAAGTGTGTCATGAACTAAAACTGTCTCCTGTGTCAGGTGGTGGGCTGGGTTATTAGCTTCAGAAAGTGAGTTGGAGGGTTACTTCTAGAACCCTGGACAGGGCTGTCATGGCTGCTGGCATTCCCAGGGTGACCGCTAGATGGCAGCAGAGCTACCCCCATCAGCGGTGGGGAGAGGGGGCGGATAATCCCTGTTTTATTGTGAAAGCAGTTTACTCTTCTATTTCAGCATTTCTATGTTTCTGTGACTTTTCCTTATGAAAAACCTCAAACAGGTACACAAGTAAGGAAGAGCATAATAAACTCCCTTGTGTCCCATCGCCAGTGTTAAACTTGTTTCACTTACTCCCTTTTTAAAAAATTGGGGTGATTTAATGTAATTCCTAGAAATCATGGCAATGTCCTCACAAACACAAGTGCAGTTGGCATCGCTCGGTTAGAGTTTCCTGTTAGTTACCTACGTGCCACACGCCTCCTAATGCTATCAGTAACACTGCCTTAGTGTCAGCTACTGCGTGTCTCTGTACACATCTCCCTGCTGCCCATGTGAGAATGACTGAAAGTTCTGAGTGGGCATCTCCTTGAGAGGTCGTCTCCTCTCTCCTCAATCCCTGTATTTTTCTTTTAAAGATTCATTTTACTTATTTAAAAGGTAGAGTTACAGAGAGAGAGAGAAAAACAGAGAGGTGCATCTTGCAGTTTGCTCCCCCAAGGACTGCAATGGTTGGAGCCGGGCCAGGCCACCACGACGAGTCGGGAGCTTCGTCTGGGTCGCCCACGTAGGTTCAGGGGCTCGAGCACTAGGGCCATCCCCTACTGGGTTCCAGTTGCGTTAACAGAGAGCTGGATCAGACCCTAAGCCACCAGAGCCCACAGGGAGAATCCAGGCAGTACAGCAAAGCTCATCTCACAATTCCTGCATTTTTTTTGGTAAAAGTTTTATTTATTTATAATTTTAAAAGATTTATTTATTTGAAAAGGCAGATTTACAGAGTGAAGGAGAGACAGAAAGATCTTCTGTCTGCTGGTTTACTCTCCAAGTGGCAACAGTGGCTGGAGCTGAGCTAATCTGAATCAAGAGCCAGGAGCTCTTCTGGGTCTCCCACACAGATGCAGGGTCCCAAGGCTTTGGGCTGTTCTCGACTGCTTTCCCAGGCCACAAGCAGGGAGCTGGATGGGAAGTGGAGAAGCTGGGACATGAACCAGCACCCATGTGGGATCCTGGTGGTTGCAAGGGGAGGATTTAGCCACTAGGCTACCACTCTGGCCCTATATATATATTTTAAAGGATTTATTGGAAAGGCAGATTTATAGAGAGGAGAGAGAGAGAAAAAGAGATCTTCTGTCTACTCCCCAAATGGTTACAATGGCTGGAGCTGAGCCAGTCCGAAGCCAGGAGCTTCTTCCAGGTCTGCCGCATCGTTCTAGGGGCCCAAGGGCTTGAGCCATCCTCCACTGCTTTCCCAGGCGATCAACAGAGAGCTGGATCAGAAGTGTAGCTGCTGCTGATTTGGGATGCTGGCTCTGTAGTCAGAGGCTTAGCGTGATACCCCAGCCCCTCTATTTGTACTTCAGGAGGCAGAAAAGTAGAGATCTGCCTTCATGTTCCCCACCTCCTATCAGCTGAACACCTAAGTTAGGCTCATTTCTGAGTCTTGGAACACAGTTCTAGATATTGATCTCCTGAAATATAAAAGAGGAAATCCAGAACAATTAATATATATTTTCCAAAGAGTGAGTCCTACTCATTTGTTTGTATTTGCATCAGTACCTGCTGCCCGCAGAGGGTCAGCATGTCGCACAGGAAGGCCCGGCGCCTCCTTGTGAGTGGTCATGGCAACAGGGCTCTGGCTTCGTCTCGATGTCTTCTAGCAGGTGGTGTGACTAGCAGTTAGGGAGCTTCTGGGCATGCCTGATTTCTGCATGCCAGCTTACTGCCAGTGCAAGGCAGCAGCTGACAGCTCAGGATGGGGGGCCGCTGCCACCCACACAGGTGACGCAGGTGACACAGCTTGAGTTCCCAGGCCGCCCCAGGCTGCTGTGGACATTTAGGGATAGAACCAACAGATGGAGATCTCTCTCTTTCTCTGACACTCCTCCTCCTTTTAAATAAATAAATAAATCTTAGAAGAAAGAAAGAAAATAGGAGAAAGGAAGGAAAGAAGGAACAAAGAAATGGGGGAGAGTTGTGGCATGGCAGGCGAGGTCTTTGCCCGGGATGCCAACATCCCGTATGATTCAAGTCCCAGCTGCTCCACTTCTGATCCGGCTCCCTGCTAGCATGCCTGGGAAAGCAGCAGAAGGTGGCTTAGATCTTTGAGCCCCTGCACCCATGGGAGAGACCCAGAAGGAGTTTCTGGCTTCAGGCTGGTCCAGCTCTAGTCTTTTTAGCACTTGGGAGGTTAACCAGTGAATGAAGAATTTCTGTCTCTCCTTTTCTCTCTGTTAAACTGCTCGTCCAGTAAAAGAAAACAACGTGAAAAAAAAAAGTAGAAAATGATCTGGAACAAGGACAACAAAGTGATGTTTGCCCAGGTTTGTGAGTAAATACCCCAGCTTCAGTGTCCAGCTCTCTCCTGCCCATCCTGCTTTATTTATCTGTATTGGAAAAGCAGAGTCAAAGGAGAGACAGAGAGAGATCTCCCATCCTTGGTTTACCCCTCAGATGGCTGCAGTAGCTAGAGTTGAACCAGGCCAAAGCCAAGATCCGGGAGCCGAGTGCCTCTTACACATCTCCCACGGAGCTGCAGGGCCATCTTGTGCTGCTTTCCCAGGCACTTTAGCAGGGAGCATGGTTGGGACTTGAACTAGTGCCCATAAGGGATACCAGCACTGCAGGTGGAAGCTTAGTAGGCTATTCCATGGCCTCACACGCCACCCCCTCCCCGTTTAAAGAAATTTTGTTTTTATTTTAAAGGCAGAAGTACAGAAAAAGAGAATGAGAAAGATCTTTCATTTGCTAGTTCGTGATCCAAATATGAAACTCACGTTTACTGACAAATGCTAAGTCACTTGTGTATTCCTTTTCAACCCTGCAGGCTTTTCGTCTCTCCTGGGGGACATGCCGCCCTCCAACAACTACTACATGTACCAGCAGCCACCGTCACAGCAGCAGCAGCAGCCGCCACCACCACCGCCACAGCCGCCTCCCCAGCAGCCCCAGCAACAGCAGGCACCTGCCCAGGGCCCCTCGACTGTGGGAGGCGCCCCTCCACTGCACACCCCAAGCCCAGAGGGCTGTACCCCATCAGGGGGAAAGCAAGCCGGGGCAGAGGGCTACGGGCCACCCCCTGTGCTGGCCCTGCATCCACCCCCAGTGCAGCACGGCGGCTACCACCCTCAGCAGCACCATGCCCACTCCCACCCTACCCAGCAGCCGCCACCTCCACAGCAGCAGGCCCAAGGCCAGGCGCCCATCAACAGCACTGGCTTTGGTGAGTGAGGAAGCAGGGTGGCTCTCTTGTTCTGACTTGGGAAGGTGTTGGCAGGCAGAGGGAGCTGTTTTCCCCGTGGGAGCTCCCCTGAGGGAATGGGCATTGCCACTCAGCGCTCCATGCCATGGAATTCCCAGGTGAGTTGGGGTTGTGTTACATCAGAGGCTGTGTGTGAGCTGGGTTATGCTCGGAGCACAGAGGGAGGGAGGGTCCAGCAGTGTCTTGGTGAGACGTGTGAGAGCTCGTGTGGATGCCAAGTCTTGCTGGCAGTCAGTCTCGTGTCTGTTGACTGGCTCTTCCCACCCACTTTCCAACCCGCCCTGCAGCCTTTCCTCCTGACTGCTGCTACAGCATTGACTCCTTAAAGGAAAGCTTCAAGATGGTGAATCGGCTCAACTGGTCCAGCATTGAGCAGTCACAGTTCTCGGGTGAGCACCAGAGGGTGCCGTCTGGAGGGCGGGAGCGTGGTGTGGGACAGTCCAGTGGAAGCTGGGACCGACACAGGCAGTTAGCTGAGGTCTCAGCATTAAGGATATCATCATTTTCCAGGTGTGTAATATCAATGTTGTTTTCAAACTGATTCACATTGATTCAAATATGGCTTATTCTAGACAGTTCTGTTCTGGGGAGAGGAAAGTTTCGTGGACATGCACAAGCCCTGGTCCCCTATTTTATGATTTATCACCACTTCCTGACAGTGTGATCATGGCTGATCCACTCAGTCACTTTGAAAATCTGTTTTATTCATCAGTAAAGTGGCTATTCTAATCAGAATTTCAATATGTGCAGCTCTCAAAGATGTGAATTATTATTTTTGATGCTTTTTTGGTGATTTTAGGGGGGGGGGACAGTTTTTAAATTATTTATTTGGAAGGCAGAGTGACAGAATTTTCCATACGCTGGTTAACTCTCCAAATGACTGCAAAAGCCTAGACTGTGCCAGACTAAAAGCAGAAGCCAGGAATTTCATCCTGATCCCTTGGGTTTAGGGGCTCAAGCCCTTGGACCATCCTTCACTGCTTTGCCAGGCACATGGGCAGGGAGCTAGGCCAAGTGACACCGCTGGGACTGGAACCTGCATTTTGACATGGGCTGCCATTGTTGCCGGCGGTGCTGGCCCCTAGTGGTGCTTGTTGTCAGTGCTGTTCATCTGTGATGTGGCTGGGCAAGTGAAACAGGTGCAGGTGGGCGGGGCTTCAGTGCCTCCGCAAGATTAGGATCGTGTGTTTCCCCATCTGCAGAGTTGATGGAGAGTCTCCGACAGGCAGAACAGAAGAACTGGACCCTCGACCAGCATCACATTGCCAATCTGTGCGACTCCCTCAACCACTTCCTGACTCAGACTGGTCATGTGCCCCCACAAGGGAGCTCCCACCGGCCACCAGCCCCTGCCCGTATTGCCGACTCCTGTGCCCTCACCAGTGGCAAACAGGAGCCAGGCATGAACCAAGGTACTGCACGAAGCAAATTGCCAAGGAGGTGGAGAAGGGTGAAAAGGAAGGGGAGGAGAGGGTTGAAAGAGAATTGAGAGAAATCGCTTTGTGAGCCGGGCTGCAGACTGAGCAGCGGGACTAGTTTGTTCGCCGTGTTGGCTGCACGGCTGTTGAGTTAGTGAAGTTCTGAAGAAGTGGCCTTCAGTTTGGGAGATCGCAGTTGCTTCAGATTTCCCTGTTCCGTCCGTGTCAGTAACCGCTACCCAGATCGTAGCAGGTGGAGTGGTGATTCTCCACACTGACAAAGTCTGCAAACCGGTAAAGTGAGAGAGATTTGGTGCTTGTGTTTCTGACTTGATCTCCTTATATCTTTGGTATTTCACAATTCTAGATCCTTGCCTTTTCATGCCAAGTACAAGGAGCAGTAAACTTTTGCATAGAATCATTCTGCAGGCTGGAGCTACTGACGAGGGCAGGGAAGGGAGAAGAAGCTGTTTGGGAAGAAGGGCACTTTGTTTTTCCTGCTTGCTTTGTTGACTCCAATGATTTCCCTCCATCACGTAACTCCTGCTTGCTTTGGCAGTCAACTCCTACGGGCACCCACAAGGCCCCCACCTCTACCCTGGCCCGTCACCAATGTACCCAATCTCTACCCAGGACTCAGCAGGATACAGTCGCCCAGGTAAGAGCCAGGGAGCATGGTTTACCACCAGCCAAGTGCTATCCATCCTGTGAGCTGTTCTGCTTTGTTCTGACTCTGGGTCTGTATTCTCTGCCTTTTCCTCTGTACCTGTCAGAGGCGGTGAGTCTTCATGATTCCCAAGGCCTGAGGAAGAGCTAGTTGCACGTATCAGGGGAGACAAGAGAAGACAGGTTTACTGTAGCATTGCCTTGTTGCTGCAGTCCTGAGAGGAGGTGAGAGTACACAGAGAAACAGGTGAAGGTGAGAGATGGCTCGGCTCTCTTTCTTGTTTCCTCATTGTCTGCCAAGCTTTGGAACCCAGTGAGAGTGCTAGTCGAAAAGAATCACAATGAATCTGTCAGTACAAACGTGCCTGCTTCAGACCCGTGTCCTCTTTCCTGCGGGCTGGCCGTTCGTCAGCGGTCCTGGATTGGGGGGCACTAACCTGCCATGGATAGTCCCAAGTAAACAACTAATTCATGTTTAAATACAGCTTTGAAAAACCATTGCGATCAGGCTGCCAAATGGCAAGTGTTTACATTTCTCCAGTGATGCTGGACTATTTATTCTTGGGATAGAAATGCGAGTTTCTGCACTGGTATTTCATGTGATAAAGTAAGCTCTATGTCATGTTATCATGGTGACACAGGGAAGCTTGTGGGGGATGTATCATATGTATTTTTAAAAGATCTATTTTGATCGGAAAGGCAGATTTACAAGGAGAAGAAGATACAGAGAGAAAGATTTTCCATTCGCTGGTTCATGCCTTAAGAGGCCACTATGGCCAGAGCTTAGCTAATCCAAAGCCGAGAGCCAGGAGCTTCCTCTGGGTCTCCCATGCGGGTGCAGGGTCCCAAGGCTTTGGGCTGTCGTTGACTGCCTTCCCAGGCCACAAGCAGGGAGCTGGATGGGAAGTGGAGCGGCCAGGATACGAATCAGTGCCCAAATGGGATGCTGGCCCATGAAATGTGAGGACTTTAGCCACTAGGCTACGGCGCCAGACCCAACAGTATCATATGTTTTAAAATTTATTTTTAATTTTAGATGACGTTAACATAGTTGGTTCAGAGTGGAATGGATCAGGGGTTAGGGAAAAGTGGGTGTGATCATTGTTTCCGCATTTTCTGCTTCTCCTTGTTTCAGGGGTGGCGGGGGAGGGATAAGGGGAGAAGCCGTACCCAGCCTCCCAACCACCCCAGTACCCAGGGATGGAGAATGGTCGCTCAGTATGAGGCCACGGTCCCAGTGTTGTGTGGCACATACTCCGAGGGTTCTGCCCAGGCGCTTTTGATAGTTCTGAAATGTCAGTCTGGCTGATCCAAGGCTGAGGGAACCCTTTCATTGTCCAGTGGCTGACATAGTTGAACTCAGAGTCTCCATTTGCCCAGATATTTGCTGTCATCATTTGGCTGGTGTAGTTGTCCAGTTTCTTCTGTCCTCCTTCCTCTGAGCTGGTCCAGATGTCCCCTGTAGAGTTCAGTGGGCTGCCATATCCTCCCTGTAAATCTGGGCCAGCTATCCACTACTCCATCTTTTCCACTGAGGAGGACCAGTTCTCTTACTTGGTCCAAAGATCCTAACCCGGTGACCTGGGTCCTGCTGGGCCTCCCCCCCACCCCTGGGGCTCACAGATCTGGCATCCCCTGTGCAAGCAGGCCAGGCAGTGCAGGCCCCGCCGGACCCCCAATCACTGGAGCTCACGGATCCGGCTCCGAGCGTGCAGGTGGGTCAAGGACCCAGGCCAGGTGACCAGGGCCCCCAGTAGTATCGTATTTTGCCCTGGCTTGCCCTGGTTCATCTCCTGAGACCACACCGACAGGGTGGCCTCCCGCTGGCCTCTGGGCTGCTGCTCCGTGTCCCTTGGGGATGAAGGCACTGCTCATCCAGGCTCCTTTCACACTCTTTCTTTCTTCCCGACAGCACACCACATGGTCCCTCGGCCCCCAGTGCCACCTCCTGGTGCCAACGAGGAGATCCCCGACGACTTCGACTGGGACTTGATCACTTAATGCGTCACACAGTGTGGACATCAGCCCAGGGGGTGGCCAAGTGCGGCAGTGGGCGCGAGGCGGCTGTCTCCCCTCGCCCCGCTTGTACATAGATATAATCATCCGTGTTTTTCTCTGTCAGAGAAGCCACCGCAAGATGCTGCCGAGGGTGCCCTCCCTGCCCCACCTCGTTCTTCTCTCTTCTTTCCTGGTCTCTCCTGATTCTTTAATTCTTCTGATGTTGTTGTTGGTTGTATGCCGTCTCCTGTCCTGACACCATAGACCATGTCCACCCCTTGCTAACTTAAAACCATCAGGCTAGAAGATAAGGGCATGACAGCGGTGAAGATGTTAAGCTCTGACTTAACTTTCTTCTTGAGGAACGTCGTGGCCTTCCCACCCTGGGGGCCTGAGTTGGTTCCTGTCACTGTTTCAGGTCAGGACTTCGCCCAGCAGCCATGAATCAGCAGGCTTTCCTCAGCGGTGCTAATCCTGCCCTTTGAGCTTTTCCTTGCCCTTGTGTCCCGTCAGTCCTCGCCTCTGACAGCACTCCTTCCCTGTCAAGGGTGAGAGTGTTGATGGCAGTGCCGGAAGGTCACAGTAAATGACTCATGGAACGGGGACTGGCCCGGGTCCAGTAGAACACGGTGGAGAATGTGTGCGGAAGTGGGTGGACGCCGCCCTGCCGCACAGGCATCCGCTGCTTTATTCCTATCCTAGCCCCTTCTCCAAGAAGGTAGGATTGGTCCTAGCCCAAACTCTGCTTCTCTGGTAGGGCATGAGGTCAGCTACTCCCCATAGGTTCAGCTTCTCAGAAATGCTTTCAAGTTAATCATTTTGGCGTTCCAAGACTTTCCTTTTTTTTCCTGTGAAAATTCACTGTGGCTGTTTCTTGCATTCGCAAATTGTCCTTCATCTTTTTTCCCTCATTCAGCAAATACTGTTTTGTCCTCCTCCGATGATGTGTCCAAGTCTTCCACCTGTGTTTACTTTCTGAGATTGTCAGGAGAGACAAGGTAACTCATTATCACTGCATGTTCCATCGCGTCCTGGACGCGGTGGGAATCCTCTTCCCGCTTTCCTGCTGGACTCATCTTGGTTGGAGGAAGGGCAGGAGAGGAAGAGAGAGCTCGGACAGGAGTGGGTAGGGCGTATGGCAGTTACTGATCCATAGAGACAAATGCTTGTCTTGGGATCCAGAGCCCAGGGGCTGAAGATTTTGCTATTAATCTTTTAAAGGTAAAGGAAATTCGCAAAGAAGAATAAATAGTCTAGAGGGAGGAGTTCCATGAACACCAACAGGGACTCCTAGACAGCGGAACTGGGACAGGGTGGCTCCTTTTACAAGGGGTGGCCATTTCTTGCTGCAAAGTCCTTGGTGTCTACTCAATGATTGAATTCTCATTACGAGAGGGAAGAAGCATTTTGCCTCCACCTTTTATTTCACTAAATTTCCACTTTCTGAAACATGTAGAACAAAATTGAATGACATGGACAAGGCTACCCTCTGTGGGATTTCTGCTTCCTGTTCCTATTTGATGTATCTGTATTTCCAAGGGATTTGGCTCTCTGCTCTCCTGCTTTTCCCTTCCGGAGAAGGGAGAGGGCGTGATTGTTGAGTTGGTTGAAGTAGCCCAGTGAGACTGAAGTTCACGGGCAGACAGGGCAGGTAACTAACAAGCACTTTATTTCTCTGAAGCCTTTTATAAGAAAGTATGTGGGCAGGGGGAGACAGTGGCTTCAATCTCTCATGATGTCAGAGGGTCCTTTGTGGGGTTGAAGTATGGCCTGACCTTTCCCGTCAGGGAAAGGAGATTTTTTTCTTAGCGGCAAAAATACCTTCGCCCCACATCCCTTTGTGAGGCGCCTTTTCCTTATTGCTTCCATCCAAGGTGCATCCTACACACCGTTTCCGTCGGTTCTCCCCAGCATCTTCCTTTCACAAGCACTCCGCCTTCCTTCATCCGTTTCCATCCCAGATCCCTCTCCCGTCTCAGGGGCAGGCGAGATCTGTGTGTCAGTGCCCCGTGTTCACCTGTCTCCCCCAACCTAGTCTCAAGAATTGAGAGCCCTGGTGGGCAGCCGGCGTCACTGGCACTGGGGGCTGGGACTGGACGTCGGCCCTCCGGCCTCCTGAGAGTCCAGCTCCACTCCCTGGAGGGCGGCCCTGCTGAGTGGCGCGGGAGAGCCGTGACGCCCCTTGAACCTCAGTTCCCCCTCCTTCCCATGAAACAGAATACTACTTTTTCTTGTTGGTCCTGCGTTGCTGGACATGACGTGTAGTTATTGTTGTTGTATCAGGTGATGTGTGCAAACTTGCCAGAGCTCACTGCCTAGAAGAGGAAATAAGGGAGAGATTGGAGGAGAGGGACAGAAGGAACCATTCTTTGGTGTAGGTCCACCCATCCCAGCCTTCCTCTCCTCAGCCCCCGTGTTTCTGGTTGGTGAGTCCTTCATACCACCCATGATGCTTTGCGTTGGTGCAGGCTGGGAAGGGGGGTGTATGGTCTCACAAGTTGTTTTTTTGCATGCTTTCTTAATAAAAAAAAAAGAAAAGAATGTTTATAGTTTTTCTTTCTTCTATAGTAGCAAAGGAGAGAAATGAAAGCTTTTGATTTCAGTCGGTCTCTAACCCTTTCTCTTGCACCTCCTGCTACTGAGTTTCATTAGGGAACCCTGAGATTTAAAACAATGATTTCTAACTTTTGATTTCTTTTATTTGAAAGGCAGAAAGTCATTTACACACAGAGAAAGATATAACCTTGTGCCTGCTGGTTCCTTCTACAAATGCCCGCAGTAGCACTCACTGGGCCACGCCAACTCCAGGGGCCTGGCACGCAGTTGCGTCTCCCCCCTGCCCTGAGCCATCCCCTGTTGCCTTTGAGGATCTGCATTGGCAGGAAGCTGCAGTCTGGAGGCACTGGGTCTTGAGCTCAGGCACTCGGAGACAGGATGCGGACATCCTAGCAACATCTTCATGGCTGGGCCACACACCTGCCCACTGGCATGTTTGGAAGACTGATGAGAAGGAGTGACAGGTAGGCTGTTAACATTCTTCTTTTCAGACACTCTTGAATCTGGTGATTCCTGTTGGGAGAGTCCTTCACACTTTGCCAGTTGGTGTGGAGAACACTGCCAAGGCGCTTGCTCCCTGGGATAGCTTAAACCAACATCTTATGCTTTGGGGAGGAAGCTGTTTCCCATCTGGGGAGGAGAGGGACCAACACAGTTCCAGGTACTCGCCTGAGTTCCTCACATCTGAAGGGAGGAAGTCTGAACTGTAGGAATTTCTTCAGAAGTGAATGGAACTCTCACAAGGCATCTGGAAATGCCCGTTGCTCGCATGTTGCGTGTTACGTCTCTGGGACTGCACCAAGTTATTCATCCTGAAATCTTAAACACTAACCCTGGGTCTCACAGGACGTGTCCTGACAGGTGTCTGGCATAGCCAGGCGTGTCATCCCTGAGAGCTGTTTGTTCCACTTTGCCAGGTTAGGATGTATTTTGAGGGTCAAGCAATTTAAAGGGGCCATGATTGCGTGAGCCTGGCATGCAGCCATGAGCACAGGGCTTGGTTCACACCCAACACATCCACACATGGAACAGGCAAGGTAGCACTGAAATTAAGTTTAAAAATGTTCTGCTTTATAACAGAATCTGCAGTCCAGATAATCCCTGAACTGTCGAACAAGTAATAAATCACAAATGTTAGATTAAACCATTGTGTTAAAGTCAGATTAGGCTGGGTTGTGGTACATGGATACATACATTTAATATGTAGAAGTTTTTTCATACATAAAAATGAGAAGTTAGTGAGAGTTGGATAATACAGAAAAAAAGGATAGAAATGGTCGTATAAATGATTGTATGTAGACAGAAAACAAGAAAAAGATGAGCACGAGCAGGTGAAAGTCGATTATTAATGAGTGTTGTGATCCATAAACAAAAGTTGTGAGGATTTGAATGAATATCTTCACTTTCCCAAGCAAGAAGTCCTACCCACAAAGGCAGCATTGTATCGAAATAAGCACATGATTTAGAAACGTGACAAATTCAAGAAAAGTCTGAAATGATCACCCGGGCTGTCTCTGGGAAATGAGAGCCATCGGGCTGAGCGGCAAGGAGCGCCCTCCAGTTCATTATCAATATCGGATTCTTTTAAACTATGTACATGAATTACTTTGGCAACAATGGAGATTAATTTTTAAAAACTTTAAAAATATAAATTCAGATAATTCAGGTGTGAAAGATACTACTAATAATTAGAATGTTTGGGGCCCAGCACAGTAGCCTGGCGGCTAAAGTCCTCATCTTGCATGCACTGGGATCCCATATGGGTGTTGGCGGCCCTGATTCCCATCCAGCTCCCTGCGTGTAGCCTGGGAAAGCAGTCAAGGATGGGTTAAAGCCTTGGGACCGTGCACCCGCGTGGGAGACCCGGAAGAGGTTCCTGGTTCCTGGTTTCAGATTAGCTCATTTCTGGCCATTGCAGCCACTTGGGAAGTGAACCATAGGACACAAGATCTTTCTCTGTCTCTCCTCCTCTCTGTATACCTTTACAATAAAAATAATAAACCTTAATAAAATAATTAAGATATTTGGTGGTACTTTAAAAAAATATTTATTTGAAAGGCAGAGTAACAGAATGGGTAGAGAGACTTCCACATGCTATTTCATTCCCCAAATGGCTGCAGCAGCTGGCTCTGCACCAGCCTGACACCAGGAGCCAGGAATGCCATCCTGGCCTCCCACATGGGGCCCAGGCACTTGGGCCATCGTCTGCTGTTTTAAATGGAATCTGAAAGGGAAGTTTGGTGATACGAAGGAAAACTGTAATGATGGAAAGCTCCCGCAGATTAGATTTGCAGTATTCTGTGGCTTAGTTTAAGGTAGCAATAGATTAATGTGTGATGCTCAGATGATGTGTTGACCAGAAACACACAGCCTGTTAGGCCTATCAGGCCCCGTTCTCCAGAGAGGATGATTGCACAGGTCTGGGGTCAGGCTGGAGAAGCTGTGTCTCTAACACGTTCTGGATGACGCTGAGGGCCATGGTCTGGGTTCATCCTTGGAGAAACAGCACGTTGACTGTTGGAAGGTTTCTGGATTCTTCTATTGACCACAGCCCTCATCCTTCCAGAACCCCACGCTAGTTGGAACCCCGGCAGAGGCTGCCTGTCCTGTGTTTTCAGACGGTGGTGCTGACACTGTTTCTTTCGGACATGACATTGCTCTGGGTACAGTTGGTAGAGGGTGTGAGTTCCTCACTGAAGGCTGCTTCCAGAATGCCCTGCAGAGACTGCCTGGCTTTCTTCCTAAAATCTTTCCCCAATAGGGCGTAAAGGAAGGGATTGAAACAACTATTGGCAGATGCTAAAGCAGTGGATAAATGGTCCCAGGATGCCAAAGCTGTCATAAAGGGAGCTGAATGAGCAAACAGTGACAGGACTCCAACCACGTGATACGGAGCCCAGCAGACAAGAAAGACTGTCACCACCACCAAAGCCACTCGGACCGTCTTGCTTCCTGAATTGGCAAAGCGGCGACTCTGCCTCATTCTGAAGACAATGAGACCATAACAGATCACCATAATGACCAGGGGCAGGAGGAAACCCACCACCAACCTTGTGAGGGTTATTGCAAACAGGGGTGTTAGCGTGGGTTGGGTGTAGGTGAATTCATCTAAATAGCTATACTGGAAATATTGTGATAATTCAGATGTGTATAAAGAATTGCTGGAAGTGCTGGGAAGAAGTTCTGAGTCAGTAGCCAGAAAAGCACCAGAGTGACCCAGCACATTCATTCTGTGCTCTTCCATGGGGAGCCCACTGGGGGATGTTGGTGGAACCACGCTGGTAGGCTTAAATAAAGTGTCCTGCGGAGGTTGACTGGGTGAATTTTGGAGCGAGTCTCCAGAAGGTCTTTGAGGTGCTTGAGAATGGAGGTCTGTGGTCCAAAGCTGATTATTTGTTTGGAAAGAGGAAGGATCAAACACATTATTCATTTCTTCAGGCAGCTGAAAACTGAAGTTGTGAAGAGACATGTTTCCCAGTAGATATGGATCAAGAAAGGGAAAGCCTGAATAATCATATGAGCTGGACGGACCAAAATTGTAACCACAACGACAATGGCCCTTGAAGGTGTCTGTTTCCCGGTATATGAACACGGGTATGCACATGATAAGGGCCATCACCCAGATGCACCCACAGACAATGTCAGCTGTCTTGGCATTGCGATGATTCTGGCACCAGACTGGCTTGAACACCACGAGGCAGCGGTCTACACTGATGGCCGTGAGCAGGAAGACGCTGGCAAACATATTGAGTACGATGACGGAGGGGATGAGCTTGCAAAGGAACCAGCCATAGGGCCAGTATCCCTGGAGAATTAAGTGAACCAGGGAGAAGGGCAAGGAGAGGCAGCAGAGGAAGTCCGCCACAGTGAGATGGAGGAACCAGAGTGTGGTCACCGTGCGCCGCATCTTGAGGCCAGCCACCCATAACACCAGCCCATTGCCTGGCAGCCCTAACAAAAAAGTAAGGCCGAGAATGACCATAGAGAGAATGAGGTGGGGGTCATCCAGTGTCTGCGAGGGTAATTCAGTGGAATTGGTCTCAGCAGAGAAAGATTCCATGGCTAAACTGCGAAAAAAAAAATAATGAAAGAAAATGTTGATGCTGAAATCATCTTTAAAATATATGCAGATTCTTAGACTTTTTTTTCTTACAGATTTATTGCTTTTTATTGGAAAGGCAGATATACAGAGAGAAGGAGGTGCAGAGGGAAAGATCTTCCATCTATTGGTTCACTCCCCCTAGTGGCCGCAAATGGCCAGAGCTAAGCCAATCCGAAGCCAGGAATCCAGAACTTCTTCTGGATCCCCTACGTAGGTGCAGCGTCCCAAGGCTTTGGATCATCCTCTACCGCTTTCCCAGACCACAAGCAGGGAGCTGGATTAGAAGTGGAGCAGCCGGGACAAAAATAGGTGCCTATGCGGGATCCTGGCATATGCAAGGCAAGGATTTAGCCATCATGCCATTGCACCTGACCCGTACTCTTAGATTCCTTGCCTTCATAATTAACGGTGTGGAAATACAAAGAAGGCGCTCACTGTGTTTCAATTTGCATTGCTTGATCTTACCCTTATTCTCTGCTTGACAATTTAAGGGGCGTGTGTTTGATGTGGCAATTGAATGGCTCTTTGGGACATCCTCCCCCGTCCTACGTCAGAGGTCCTGTTTCTGACCCAGCTTCCCGCTAATGTGCACTGAGGACAAGTGACGGGCCCAGCGCTCGGTGCGGGGCCTGGGCTGCTCTCAGCCTGGCCCGTTCTCCGCTGCGGTGCAGGTTTGGGAAGGGAGGTTGCAGGGTCTCATTCTCTGTCTCTCTCCATTGCACATAAAATGAAAAATAATAAAACAATGACAATTTTATAAAATCCACTGCATAGATTTAGATGTCTATCAAAATGACAATCTCATTTCAAAATCCATATAATGTGGGCTTGGTGTGATAGCCTATTGACTAAATCCTCACCTTGCAGCCACTAGGATTTCATGTGGGTGCTGGTTCTAATCCCAGATGCTCCACTTCCCACCCAGCTCCTTGCTTGTGGCCTGGGAAAGCAGTCGAGGACGGCCCAAGGCCTTGGGACCCTGCACCCGCATGGGAGACCTGGAAGAGGCTCCAGGCTCCTGGCTTCAGATTTGTGTGGCTCTGGCCAATGCAGCCACTTGGGGAGTGACAAATGGACAGAAGATCTTTCTCCTTCTCTGTATATTTGCCTTTCCAATAAAGATAAAAAAAAAAATCTTTATTTAAAAAAAAATAACGTGCCCATGTCAAATTTACCTTTTTTTCTTGTATTTTGAGTCTCACGTTCTTGCTAGTTCTTTTCTTTATCCAATGTTCTCTATCAAAAGCAAACCAAAGAAGGTGTTTAGCCCAGCAGTTAAGTCACCTGTGTTCCACTGGGAGTAGCTGGGTTCGCTTTTTCTGCTCTGGCTTCTAATTTCAGCTGCCTGCTAATGAAGATGTGGGGAGGCAGCAGGGATGGTTCAACTCTCTCTCTGCTTTTACTCACGTGAGAGAGGTGGAATGCACTCAGGACTTTCAGTGCTGGCTCCCATCCAGCCCCAACACTGGATCATTGCTGGAGTGAGCAAGCAGACGGGTGTGCTCCCTTCCCACTTCTCAAATAAAATCAGCAACTTTTTAAAAAAAGAAAATAGGAGCCAGTGTCATGGTGTAGCTGGTTAGCCTGTTGCTTGGGATGCCACGTGCCACAGGGAGTGCTGGTTCAGCCCCATCTTGTTCTGCTGCCAGTCAAGCTCCCTGTTTATGTGCCTGGGGAGCAGCGGGTAATAGATGGCTCAAGTACTTGACTTGCTGACACCCGAGTGGGAGACCTGGATGGGTTCCTGGCTCCTGGCTTTGGCCTGGCACAACTCTGGATGTTACAGCCATTTAGGAAGTAAACAAAGGGATGAAGATCTTCCAACTCCTGTCATCACATTGTCATTCAACTACATACAGAGATACATTAAGAAAATAAATAAGCGTGGGGTCAGCGTTTGCACAGCAGTTAAGCTACTGCCTGCGACTCCAGCAATCTATCGGGGTGCCAGTTCTAGTTCCTGCTGCTCCACTTCTGATTCCGGTTCCCTGCTGAAGTTCCTAGGAGGGCATCCATATTGGAGACCCAGATGGAGTTCCAGGCTCCTTGCTTCTGCCTGGGGCAGTCCTAGCTGTTGTGACTGTTCAGAAACTATCTCTTTCTCTCTTTCTCTATTCCTTACTCTCTGTGACTTTGCCTTTAAAATCAATAACTAGAAAAAACGAGGAAGAGTGGGCCCAGCACAGTGGCCTAGCGGCTAAAGTCCTTGCCTTGAACTCGCCGGGATCCCATACGGGCGCCAGTTCTAATCCCAGCAGCTCCACTTCCCATCCAGCTCCCTGCTTGTGGCCTGGGAAAGCAATCGAGGATGACCCAAGGCCTTGGGATCCTGTACCCACGTGGGAGACCTGGAGGAGGTTCCTGGTTCCTGGCTCCTGGCTCTGGATCGGCACAGCACCGGTCGTTGCGCTCACTTGGGGAGTGAATCATTGGATGGAAGTTCTTCCTCTCTGTTTCTCCTCCTCTGTATGTATCTGACTTTGTAATATAAATAATCATTCAGTTCTTACCTGGAATGTTTTTCTAGTTCCTTTGTGGTCTCTTCTAACTTACTTTTTGTTTTTAAGCTCCAATTCTTAATGGCTGTATTTACCTTTTGCATTTCTTCTTTATAGGAGCCCCAAAATGTTTTTGTAACTTCTGAGTAGTTTTGCTGAGTGCAGCGAATGTTGTCACAGGACTTTATATAGTTAGCAGAAGCTAAAGTGATGTGTCAACAAGATTAAAAAGCAGAAGTGATTCCCAGTCCCCTTCTGTGGCTGTATCCACTCCTGGACAGAAGCCCTGAAGACCTAGCTCAGTCCCTCGCTCTGCTGTGACTGCTGCCAGCCACCCTGCTCCACGGCCCTCCCAGCCCTCCCCGCAGATTCAGGCAGAAAACCACCACAAATGGTCAGAAGGAGAGCATCACGCATGCCAGGACTGCACGGAATCTTCTTGGCAATCATCTTTCTTTCTACTTGACTTTTTGACTTTGACACTGTAGATTGGGTGACTTTGACATAATCACTAGGAATTTCCCAAAGACTGTCAGATCAATACTTTTTTTTTTAACTGAAAAGAATCACATAACTGAAAAATCTGTAGAATTGTTAACAAAGGGGAAAGGACTGCACAAACGTAACCATCAAGGGCTAAAAGGAGCAAAAGCCCAACATAAAAGAAATGGAGATATCTGGCGTGAGCTGTGTTTTAAGTATCCTTTAAGAGGATACTTCAAGAATCCGTGGAAAATTGGAATTTAAAGATACATTAGGTCAGGCATCTGGACCAACAGTTAAGACTGGATTGCTTGTGGGCCCAGCATGATGGCTCAGTAGCTAAATCCTCCCTTTGCAACTGCTGTGATCCCATATGGCTTGTATCCTGGTTGCTCCACTTCCCATCCAGCTCCCTGCCTGTGACCCGGAAGGCGGCAGAAGCTGACCCAAAGCCTTGGGACCCTGCACCCACATGAGGGACCCAGAAGAAGCTCTTGTTTCCTGGCTTTGGATTGTCTTGGCTTTTGCCATTGAGGCCACTTAAGTAGTACACCAGTGGATGGAGAGCCATTTTCTGTCTCTCCTTCTCTCTGGAAACCTGCCTTCCTAATGAAATGAAATAAATCTTTAAAAAAGAAAAGATTGGACTGCCTGCCTCTCAAACATAAATGCCTGAGTTTGAGTCTTGGCTGCTCTGATTGGTCCAGCTTCCTGCTAAGGTACACCCTAGGAAGCAGCAGGTGTAAGGATCAGGAGTTAAACCCCTCCCCCCAGCGGGAGGCCTCGGTTGGGTCCCCGGCTCCTGGCTGTTTCCTGGCCAAGCTCCAGCCATTGCAGATCTTGGGGATACGAACCAGTAAAAGGGAGTTCTCTGTTTTTGTTTCTGTTTATTCCTCTCTGCCTCTCAAATTAAAGCAAATTAATATTTTTATTGGGAAGTCATATATACAGAGACGAAGATCTTCCATTTGCTGTTTCACTCCCCAAGCGACCGCAATGGCTAGAGCTGAGGAAGCCAGGAGCCAGGAGCCTCTTCCAGGTCTCCTACGTGGGTGCAGGGTCTCAAAGTTTTGGGCTGTCCTCCACTGCTTTCCCAGGCCACAAGCAGGGAGCTGGATGGGAAGTGGAGCTGTTGGGATTAGAACTGGTGCCTATATGGGATCCTGGCATGTGAAAGGCGAGGACTTTAGCTGCTAGGCTACTGTGCTGGACCCAAATAAGCAAACATTTTAAGTTAGACTTAGGGGGACTGGCATTGTCGCATAGTGAGTAAGGCTGCCACCTGCAGTGCCAACATCCCTTTGGGCTCTGGTTTGTGTCCCAACTGCTCCCTTCTGATCAAGCTCCTTGTTAATGGCCTCAGAAAATCAATAATGGAAGATGAGTCGAATGCTTAGGTCCCTGCTACCTATACGGGAGCCCTGGATGCAACTTCTGCCTTTTGCTTGTTGCCTGGACCTGCCCTGGCGGTTGAGATCATCTGGCAGTAAGTCAGTGGATGGAAAGTTTCTCTCTCTTCTCCCTTTCTCTTTCTCTCATCTCTGGAAGTCTGACGTTCAAATAAATAAATCTCTAAAAAAAGAGAGAGAGAGAGATTTAGTGGCAACTGCTTGAACTAGTGAGTGAGACACCAGCTAGAACACCTGCCTTCCATATCGTAGTGTCTGGGTCTCCATGCAACACTGACTCCTGACTGCAGCTTCCTGACAACGCAGACCCTCCGGGGACCGTGATCACTCAGCTAAGAGGCCCCCACTGCCGACACAGGAGAGCCAGACTGGGCTCCTGGCTCCCGCCCTGACCCATTGCTGTGGGGATCTGGGCAGAGAAGTGGTGGATGGAAGCCCTTCCCCCCTCATCTGTCTCTTCAATAAATTAAATAGAGGAAAGAGAGAGAGAGAGAGAGAGAACTGAGCTTTTTTTAAAAAAAAATTAAAATGCATGCATAGTTTTTAAGTAATACACATTGGCTGCAAATGTTTTAAATTGCTCTTATATCACTGAGTTGAAATAATTCAAATAGGAGTAAATGTGTGTGAGTCAAGGCTTAAAAGTCTTCAGTACAAGCTTACTTTTTACATCTGTCCAAGTTGTTTGGTCGAAAAAAAGCCATTATGTTTAAAATTAGTACAGGTTGTTTATATTTTACATTTTCAAAACTGAATTGACCAGCCATAACGAAAAAGACAAATGAAATCCTGAAGCTGAAATTCAATTACCCTCAGGAAAGAAAAGTCGCTTCTACAACCAAATGCTAGGATGACCAAGACAAGTGCAATAGGAGATGGGTAAACAAGCAACAACAACAACAACAACAAGGTGGAAATCAAATGAGAAAAAAAAAAAATTTCAAAGGCAAGGAATGATTTGATAAAACAGAGCTAATCAAGAAGGCCGAAATCAAGGGTCAAAAGGAGAGAGGGGGGAGTAATGACACAGAATTCACTGTTCCAGAAGGAGAAGCAGAGAATACAGAAGATTTCGAAAAAGACCCAAGCGCAAGATGAAGAACAGTTGGAGAAGGAGGGAAATAGGCGGTAATGAGCAGAGCCAGTGAGGAGAGCGTATCTGGCTTTTCTTACCGAAACACTGAAACGGGGTCGGAAGGACTCGCGGTCAGGCTGGGGTCCCTGTGAGTTTCTCTGGCTCCCCACCCTTGAACTCAAGCAAGTCCTGAAGAACGACTCAGAGATCTGCGCAGCTCTTCCTCCTCCCTCTGCTTCTGATAAAAAATAAGTTGGCTTCATGACCCAGGCTACTGCCTGACTTGACGGGGGAGGAGGAGTCCCTCGCTGATTCACGTCTACATAGCTGAGATAAGAAAGCAGAAAAACAGAAGTAGGAGAGGAGAACTCTGCAAGATCTTTCACAGGACGCAGAACGTGGCCAGGAGACGAATCTTTTACAACCCAAAGCTTTTGTCTCAACAGGTTTTACTTTGGCAATGGAAAGACCCTGGGAGAGAGGCAGGTTCAGGAACGAGCGAGGGGAAATGCCCTGTGCAAACCTATTGATTTTAGGCAACGTCTCAGATACTTGATTCATGTTTTTTTCATAAAGTGCAATGTCCTGCTCAGAATGAGATCATATTCCAACCTCTGAAAGAGCCCCTCCCCCAGTTACAAGGCAATCGGATTCAGGTGTAAGAACAGAAGCAGTATTAGAGGATGCACACAGGCTGCCATGTCATGGCCCAGCCTAACGTTACCTGTCCCCTGTTCTGACGCTCCTTGGTGGGTAGTGTGATCTAGCCCTGCTGGGTGGGCTCCCAGCCCTAGCTTTAGTGTGCACCAGTGGGTGGTGGTCAGCAGTGATCCATGCTAATTAGCCCAACTCGGGTCTCTCACGTGAGTGGGTGTATTGGTCTGAACCAGAAAGATCCTCCAGCTTCCCCCCTCCGAACCGCCCTGTCTCAGTCCCCTTGCTTCCCTGCAAGGACAGTGGCCTTGTCACATTGGGAATCGCTCAGAAGTCACTCCTCACCTGCAACACTCCCTCAGCAGCCCTCCCTCCCACACGTCCCTTTACCTCGTCCCTCAGCAATCTGGTCTCTGACCTTGGAGTGCATGGACTCCCCAGCCACATCTTCAAAAGCCCAGTCGTCCAGTGAGGTGGGGCACTGGCCTGGAGCTCTGCCCACCCACGAGGGTCCCAAGCTCCTCGCATGTATGCTGGTCTGGAACCTTACCCCTCTTCCCACCCAAGATCCAAACCCATTCAGAGTCCCCCAAGCCTGGTCCACCAGCACACCATGCCAGCATGCTAACCCCAGGGCTCTCCCCTCCCTACCACTGTCCAACTCCTAGCCTGCCCAGGACCAGTATGTAGGGACAATCCCCAGGCTGGCTCTACCTACCTGGACCTGAGCCCCCAGGGCTCTGAACGCCCTCTGCCATCACCATTCTCCAGACCCCTGCAGGCCCACATTCTCATACCCCTAGGAGCCTGCCACCCACACCAGCCAGTGTAAAGGCAGCAGGCATCTGCCTGTTTTAATTGAAAGGTGGATTTACACAGGAAAGACAGATATCTTTGATTCACTGTTTCACTCCCCAAATGGTAGGAATGGCTAGAGCTGGGCTGGTCTGTAGCCAGGACTTAGGAGCTTCTTCTGGGTCTCCCATGTGGGTGGGTGCAGGGGTACCAGCCGTTGGGCCATCCTCTGCTGCTTTTCTAGGCCATTAGCATAGAGGTGGATGGGAAGTGGAGCAGCCTGATCTTAAACTGACTCCCATAGGGGATGCTGGCACTGCAAGCAGGTACTTAACGTGCTGTGCAAACTAAGTGCGTTATCATAAGCCTGCACTCTGTTTCTATGTAGAAACAATGCTTAGGACTGGTGTTGTGGCACAACTTGTTAAGCTGTCCCCTGCTACCATGAAATATAAAAAACATGAAAATCTTCAAAATAACGACATGGGAAGGAGGCATGTAGCCTCTTGCAGCAGCAGCAGCAGCAGACAGCTCTTGTTGCATCCTGTGATGGGGATGGCAGGTGCATCTGTGGCTCCAGCAGGATCATTGGTGCCAGTGGCAGCAGCAGTGACAGAAGTCAATGAGTTCCTAGATTCTTGCCAAGTGGTAACAAGAGACCCCAGTCTTAAAGACAACCACAAGCTTGCTCGTCCTAATTTATATCTCTTCCCATTTTCCTCTTCCGGGTTGGGGAAGCAGTCTTCTGTAGCTACTGAAACACAGAAGACACCATTGTTTTCCTCTTTATTCCACTACTCTTTTTAATACATTTGTTATCAAGTCCTTGTAGTAAATGCCCTTTTTGATGACTTCCAATTTCCTGGCCAGATCATGACTGATTTGGGGAAAATCTGCTACCTTCACTATAGAATTATCAAGAATAAATTTATTAATGCAAATGAAATTTTTAAAGTGGTCCCAGCACATAAGCCTCACTCAGTGTTAGCTATTATCATGTAAAAAGTCACCAAATGTGCACTCAACTTGATTTTTAGTTATACACTCTCCCACCACAAACCTGAACCAATGATGTATGGAATGTTTTATTCTCAGTGTGAGATCAAACCCTTCTTGCTGAATTAGAGCCGAATCTGGCTTCCAAGGATGTGAACTGTACATATTCTTGCCTCCCTAGAGTATAACTGTCTGATTATTCACACAGTTATGGCAAAACCAAGTAACAGCACAAGTTGGGGAGCCGAGTTGTTGAGGGATTTTTATCTTTCAAAAGATTTATTAGAAAGGCAGATTTATAGGGAGGAGAGACAGAGAGAAAGATTTTCCATCCACTGCTTCACTGCCCAAATGACCACAATGGCTGGAGCTGAACTGATCCGAAGCCAGGAGCCAGGAGACTTTTCTGGGTCTCCCATGTTGGCGCAGGGTCCGAAGGACTTGGGCCATCCTCTGCTACTTTCCCAGGCCATAAACAGCATGGAGATGGATGCAAAGTGGAGCATTTGAGACGTGGACTGGTGCCCCTATGGGATGCTAGCTTTTAAAGGTGAAAGATCAGCCTGCTGAGCCACAGTACTGGTCCCTACTGTGGCAATGGAAAAGCAAACAAAACAAAATAAAAACTGGCATCCCATCAAAATAACAAATATTGGATACATCTATGTGTGGCTCTTGAAAGAAACCAGACGAATTTGGCATTAGAAATCAGCCACAGCACAATGGACTTGGGAAAATTCACAAAAGACACACATTATGAAACTGGAGGGGAGAAGAAAGGGGAGTGGAGGGAACTTGGCAGAGGGGGAAGGGAGAGCCCAGCACCAACTACAGTGTATCAAAAACAAAACAATAAAGAAATCAGCTGCATCTGAGTGGCAGAAACTCTAAAGGACTTTACCTTTGCCATTGACTTATCCTCCACCCATTTTCCATTAAGTACAGATCTAGGACGCCCAGGAAGCAGAGACAGAATGGGAACTAAGCTGAGAATAGACGTGACTTTTGTGAATCCTGTGACCTTAGTTCCAGGAAAACGAAAGTGGACAAAGAGACGCATCTGCAGTCTGGGTTTAGCACATCTGTTGAGAAAGCAGGAAATGTGTTGGAAAGAGTGGACAGGGTTGAGGACTTTTGGGGGGTACATGGCTGTTTCATGCACATAGATAAAGATCAATTTTTGAGTCAATTTTGATAAAACTATTGGCTATCCTATGCATTGCTTTGACAAATTTTTTTGTCTTTCTTTGTCTTTCATTTCATTTCCATAGAATGCAGGCAGAGGAAAATGACACACACATTTCCCTTCTAAGTCAGTGCTGCGGGGTGAGGGGAGCACATTTGTTGGCCTTTAGGGAGAAAAGGTGCTAAAATAGCAATTGTATTTAGTTGCATATATTCTGTGTATGCATCTTCTGAAATATTAAAATAGTAGGCTGTCAGTGTTATCTAGCTGAAACCACATAATAACTCTTATTTTGAATATAAGTTAGTGTTCATAGTATAAATAACGCACACATTGAGAGTGTATCAGACTGTGCTAAACACTCCTTCGGCACCTGAGCCACCATCGTTGTCTTTCAGGTGTGTTAATGGGAAACCAGAGCCAGCAATCCTATATGGGATACGGGCAGTATGTGAACTGGTGGTGAATGACCATACACCAGGGGTCGCTTTTAAGAATAACAAAATAAATTGTGTTTTTACTAAAACATAAAGATTTATAGAACTTTGCAGGCAAGCCATGCACAATGGGAATCTACACTTACCATTAATGTTATAACATTATTTAGTGAGGGCTATGATGTTACCACTTTGGTTCCACCGAACTTGGCCATTTACAGAGTCTAACATCAGTCAGACTTGGCCAGAAAGCATATTCTAAAGACTGGTTAGCTGCTTTGAACCAATGCACTTAGGTTATAAAAAGCAAGGTGGGGGAAGTAGCCCATCAAATGAAAATAAAATTACCTCTCTGCTTAAAATAATAAACCTTAGTAAAGAAAAACACCCACTCCTCTACAGCTCACCAAGACACCACCTTTACTCACAGTGCTTTATGCACAAACCACCATGGGGGAAATGAGTACTAGCAGAAGGCTCCCTGCTTCTAAATGTTTATGCAACAATCCAGGCAACACTCACAGCCTCTGCTCACGCTCTACAACAGTGAATTAGGACAAAACATGGATTTGCTGATGCGCATTGAATCACCAAAGGATGGAAGGCATGTGGGCTTTTATTCTGTGATGCTTCTAAGACTGTGTCTACCAAAAAGCAAAACAAAAAGGAGGAAGTCCCAGCAGAACAGGGAAAGTGACACACACTTGATGATCAGATCGATTTAAACATTCTTCTTGGCATGCAGCCTGGTCTACCTCCAGCTGTCTCCATGGCTGGAGCCTCTTGGGTCTGCCATGGCTTCACTACAGCATTTGCTAACAGAGCATATGGGCTGGGAACACTTCAGGGGTGGCTTGACAGCAGAGCTCCAGGTTCCCAGTTTCAACCTAGCCAAGTCCTAGACACTGGGAGGGCTGGGGATGGCCACTCTTTTCAAGTATCTGAACATTCTTCCCAACCTGCCTGTATTAAGAGCATGTATTTTGCTTCTAGGACATGCTGTAGGGACTGCGATTGAGGATTCGTCTGGAAGGAATAGTTCAAGGTTTAAAGTTCCTCCTCAAGGTTGACCAGCAGTGACAGCATGAAAATAGCGAGTGGATGTTGCTTCAGCTGGTTCGGCCTTCCTGCGAGGAACTGGCTATGCCAGAAAACGCTGGGTTTCCTTG